GTAGTGGGAGTGGGAGTAGTAGTAGTAGTAGTAGTAGTAGTAGTAGCGGGAGTAGTAGTAGTAGCGGGAGTAGGAGTAGTAGTAGTAGTAGCAGCAGTAGTCGTAGTAGTAGTAGTAGTAGTAGTAGTAGTAGCGGGAGTAGTAGTAGTAGCGGGAGTAGTAGTAGCGGGAGTAGTAGTAGTAGTAGTAGTAGTAGTAGTAGCAGTAGCAGTAGCAGTCGCAGAAGTAGCAGTGGCAGTAGTTGTAGTGGTAGTGGTGGTTGTTGTCGTAGTTGGTAGTATCAGCAAGTGGTAGTGGTAGCGGAAGTGGCGATGGCAGTAGTGGTAGAATGGCAGCGGTCGTTGTAGTAGTCGTCAGTGTGCCGGGAATTTAAACGAATTGCTTGCGCAAGATTGCCAAGCAATCTTGCAATCTTGCCCCACTTGATTGCCAGGAATCTTACAATCTTGCTCTAAATGGTAAACTAGTCGGCGAGCAAGTGGTCAAAATTACCAAGATTGCAAGACGACCAGCGGCCGATCAAGATGACAAAGATGACCACCGACCAAGATTGATCAACATTTCCTGCACAATTATTTGTTCTAAATTTCCGGCACAATATAGCGTCACAAGTGCAAACGCTGAACCATTGCCATAATTCTTCGTCGTCGTGATTCTTATCGTCGCTGCCTCCGTTTTGCAGCCGAGGATTGCATGAAGCTGCATGGTTCACGTGCGACCCATCGGCTCAGGTTTGCCTTTCTTTGCTTTGATTGCTTTGGCTGTTGGTCACTGCAAGTCAAGACAGCTTACCGGGAGTGCCGTGGCTTCTGCGCACTGTCGGATGCACCTTGCAGGCTAACTCTTGCCGAGATGACAATGGAGGAGTCGCTGCGGAAGCCACGGCGTCTGCATATTGCGAATTTTCCTCGCCTTGTCTACGAGGAAGTAGCACATGGTTGACTTGGCGGCGATCCCAAGATGCTTGGATTGTAATTTTACAGATACCAGTTGGCCAAGGATCAAACCCTTTGGTTCTTCTAAATATTCAGCTTTTGATATATGCCAAACGCCTTATTGCAAAGGCAAATGGGTGAGTGTGTCATAACGTGTGAGTTTTGTGCCGAATCCAACGAATCCTGGGAAACTGGACCGCCACTTCAAAAGTTGAAAGAAAACATGTGCGAGTTCGGCAGGCTGCAAGCCGGGGAAAAGGGGTCAGTCAACCGCAAGCGAAGGCTTTCAGAAAGCTGACGATGCCGATGCCATCTGCCCGCCTTCTCTCAGCCAGTGCAGGCCAAGAAGACACTCTGCGATGGAACTCTTCGAGCGCACCGCATTTACCTGCCGAGGTTTTAGCCATTGCCCAGAACGAGCAGAAACAGCCACGCCACAAGCTACACTAGTCTCAGAAGAATAAGGCATCATAACATAGACCCTTCATAGTGGGATCGCTAATGTAACCTCAATGCATCGAAGGTGCACAGCAGCAAGAGGGGCATCCTCGTGCATCACCTGGGCAGCTTAACATGATTGTCCAATCGGAAACAACAGAAAAATTTGTCGCAAAAAGCAATAGTCGTCGTAGTAGTCGTGAGTCGCAATGGTGTAGCCGTAGCAGTAATAGTAGAAGAAGCAGTACCGGTAGTAGCAGTGGTATTTTATTGTTAGCAGTAGCCGTAGTGGACGTACGTAGTCGTAGTCGTAGTAGTAGCAGTAGTAGTGGTAGTAGTGGTGGTAGTAGTAGTAGTGGTAGTGGTAGTGGCAGTGGCAGTAGCGGTAGCCTTAGTAGGAGCATGGCAGTAGTAATACTACTAGTGTTGGCAACGGTAGATGTGATGGAAGTAGCTCGGGTAAGTTTAATGAGGCCTGTAAGAAGACTAAGACAGCAATAGGCAGTAGTGTTTCATGCAATATTGAGAATCGTACTAAGTAGAGTGAATTTGCATGTCGGGCTTATAACACCATGCCGTTTATATCGCAGGTCAAGGAGTTTTCAGAGCACACGCGATCTCAGCCCAGCACATAGTCGTCCACGACTAATCGCTGGCGCTGAGCCTGCACACATGCTTCCGCAACAGCTCTGATTTCGAAACTGAGGAAGTTCAACGTCATTTGATGCTTTGGCTGAATTGGTGCTTGCATGGGCGCATGTAGTGATGAATTGCAGGACGAACCCTTGCACAAGTTACCAGGCTCGCAGCAGGCCATGCTCACACTTCTTAGGAGACTTGCTCTTGCCGACTGAATTTCTCCGGCCGCCTGTCGCCGCAAGAAAGCGAAGACGGCCCCGGCACCGGCCACGACCGCGAGCCTGTGATGTAATGTAATCTAACCCATTAGCTGGGCTAGTCGGGCATCTATGTGCATCCCCTCCAGTGCCCTTGCCACCCAGAAGCAGCGGAGTGAAGAACCAGTAGGTGGCGACCTGGCCACTCCCCAGACTGGAGCATAGGGGCTTTAAGACACTCGGTCTGGAAATGTTCACTGAGCAATGAATTCGTGGGCATGTCGGAAAGCTTTCTCATGTGATCCTCGCGAAGTCTGCCATGATTCAGCAATCAGCTTCATCGGGCCTTCTGCAGCAGCATCGCCGGCGCCGCTCCAGACTGACAGATGGCTCTGGGAAGGCTGCGGCCAAGATAAAGGAAGATCTCACGGCAGGCCGACCTTGGGGCTCTGCTGGTGCTCCTTCGCCTGGCAGAAAAGAAATCCCCTCGCTCCTCCTTATACCGATGCGCAAGGAGTGTTCAAGCCTCTTCTGCGAGCTCCTCGCGGAGGTGCTCCTAACAGGATTCAGATTTGGACCGCTTCAGGGCGGCATCGGTGCACTGCTTCGAAGTTTCGGTCTCCTTCTCTGCCTGCAGCTCCTTCCTCAGGCGCTCGTGCTCTGACTGCAGCTCCTCGTGCAGCCTCTGCTTTTCCTCCTCTCTCTCCTGCAAAACCACCAGAACAACCCAAACTTCCGTGTCTCCGACTGCCAAGATGTCGCTCCTGGTTTTCCTTCTTCTCTTCGGCGCTCTGTTGATCAGGAGCGGCACTCTGGTCACCACCAGTGGCAGCAAGGACCTCATCTGCATGAACAGTGGGCTACTTTACGATCCCATGGACGCGCTTGCACTAGCAGCCAGTCGCTGCTAACACTGCGGAACAAATAATGCCGCGATGCGGCCACAGCTGCCCCACCCTCCTACCAATTGCAATGCGAAAACTAAAATCGGGCAGAAACAGCGCACCCTGCAGTTTGCCTGGTACCGTGTCTGGTACTGCTTGTAGTCAGTTGCAGCGTTGGCGCCTCGCTCCTGCAGGATTCGATGGCAGGGAACTCGACAGAGTGTACAGGCTGAGGAAGGTACCAAGATCCCACACGAATTTCAGTTGTACTGTAGCTAAGGCTGCGCATGAGAGCGGACCCTGGAAGCTTCAAGACAGAGACCCAACAAAGTACAATGCAAGACATGCAGGCTCATCAGGCCTTCAAGTATTTCGCATAGTCGCTAGCATACTCGTTGACAAACTTTTGGAAATCACCGGCTGCATCTTTGCCTTCGTTCTGGAAGAAGCTCTTGTAGTTCTTGAAGTAGTCATTGAAGTCACCTGCTGCTTCAGCACCACGGGATTGCACGTAGTGCTTGAACTCCCCAGCATGGGCTTTCATGTACTTCTCGAAACCCGCGGAAACATTCTTGCCACGCTGCTGCATGTAGTTTTTGTAGTCCCGGACGACCGACCCCTCATCCGAAGATGTGGCAACTGCCAGCAGGGAAGGGCTTTCCGACTTTGCATCAGCATCGTTCGCCTTCGCGCCCTGAGTGTATTTGGAATAGTCCATGTACTTCTTGTAATCTGCTCC